TGCAATGCTAATGAAGTACCCATTTTACGAGCACAGCCAATGCCGCCAACAACACAAAATGTTAAGAAAATTAACATAAACTATAAGTCTGATCCACCTTTTAACCTAAATCAAGGTATTATCAATGAACATTTTCTACCTATAAAAGCACTTGAAGAAACAGGAACGTCTCAGGAACAAATTGCTTACTCCATTCCAAGGATGTTATTAAAAATTAAACCAACTTTATCGAATATAAGAAGCCCGTTTCGTATCGATGCTTTTACACAATTCACTAACCGCTACAAGCTACCTCAAAGAGTATCGATAAAAAATAGTCTGTTACACAAAGCTGGATTACACCCAAGTATGACGGAATTTAATTTTGATGAAAGATTTGAGAGCACTACACTCGGGTACGTTTTAAATCCTATTGATATCACTCAAAGAAATAATATTCTCCGTGATAAAAGGACGATGCTTCCAACATACCCTAGCAGAGCTGTGACGCCTCGAGCCGGTCCTTATTACGATGAGCAGCTGATTCACATGCGGGCTCAAACGAAACGATTTCCATATTCACAATATCTGAGTCAATTGCCTCTTAGTGTTTCTAAACATGAGTATTATCAAAGTAATTCATTTCGTACTACGCCACATTACAACTATCGTCCTCATATTACAAGTCATCCAAGCCTATCTCCTCCTAGTAAAAGTAGTAGTACTTATAATAGGAATCCTATCCATAACACGTATCCAAGCCCACCTCCTAAATACCAGTCTTATCACCATAATGTAAGACCTAACATCATTCACTTCAATAAACCACCGCTTTTCGACATTCCTCGTAACAACTTTAACTTTCATAAGATTTCTTCCTCAAGTAAGGTTCAGCAAGGTGTCCGGCGTCCTATTGTTGATGCAATGCAATACTTTCGTCTCCAGAACCAGCTGCTTTCAAATGTTCGGTACCAGAATATTTCATCACATCTATATTTTAGAGGTAGTAGTAACTTTTATAATTTTACAGTTACTTATCCTGTTAGTAAAACTAAGCCCAGTACAAATCAAGTATTTCAAAATACCAAGTCTCAAAAAGCATCCCATTCAACGTATAGACTTCAATCTTACCAAAATTCAAAAACAAAGAAACAATCTTTTCGAAATATTCCAAAACGCTACCCTAAAGTAGGTACATTACATGCGCCATATTCTGAAACTCTGAATTTACTAGACGGGAAACCTTTCTATGAAATGGCTTACACATCAAATTTCGATTCGTACTATGACGTGCCCACTACTAAATCAACTCCATTAAAACATTACAGTCGTGTGACGAAGGTGTATAAGGCGCAATTCCGTGCTAGATTATCTCAAGAAATAGACTACTGGTTAACTGGGAGTTCAAGCAGCACTTTTCCTCCTACTATAATTGACAATTCTAAATCACCGAAATTAACCAAGTCGACATACAAATTGCCTGTAGTTTTCATCCAATGCGAAAAACTTGCTAATTGTAATATGTTGGATTGGCACAATGATACAACAATCATAACGCCTAAATAAATATCCACTAGATCGATTTCGACCATGGTGGCCAGTCTAATTAGACTAGCACAGGAGATATAGTACACAAGTGCGTGCACAAAAGGAGGAGGCGGAGTGCGTGATGGAACGAATCTCCTCAGGCACCAGAAGCCTCTCTGGGCGTCGGGGATTGCGCGAACGACTTCCGGCCACCAGAAATACAGGCTTGCGGACGACAGGCAATGGTAGCTCACCGCATTCCCGCATTTCCCGTGCGCCTTGAAGAGTCATCGGATCACCACAGCTGGGGCCCAGTAGGGCTAATGCCCCATCCGGAGCTGCGCACAACCTAACAGATTATCGAGACTCTGACTTAAAGCAGGAGTAGGAACGGTGTGGTTTTTAGTCAGTTAGAGTCTGACTATCTCGCCTCACTCAAGGCGGGAGACGCGAGGTAGGTAGAAATACAGATGCACTGTTGATTCCCGCACTTTCTTAATCTAGCACGGTAAGGTACAGCATGCGGCATTTTCCACGACTGGAAAGAAGTCAAGTGCACGACCAACAGCTATCTAAGGCCTAAAGCAGTGCCGATAACCAAATAGTATTTCATTAGCTCGTTTTCGTCTACTGTTGGATATCGGCGTCTCTGATAGCTTACCACTGAGTTTGATTTTCATCGATTTCAAGGTGAGTGGCAGCGGCAGTGGAGTAACGACATCGTAACCTTCAGCTCACTAGTCCTTTAGGCTATGTATGTAGAGAGACTCCGAGCATAGTCCTCTCCACAACTCGTTACGTGACCTTAAATTGAAGGATCAGTCGCACTGTCAGTGTCTACATGTGGACTCCATGTGTCATTATTGGTAGGACGCACTCTTTAAAGAATTTTGTCTTCAAACATTGTGGAATATGGTATAGGCACGACAAAGACTTTTTATCTAAAAAGTATCTATACTTAAATGTTTGTATGGCAGCCATGATGAGTTTATTTTAATTTTTTAGCAGTTTAAAGACACAAAATATTTTCAGTTCTATAGTATAATGTAATTTAGCTATAGATTATACCTACGCCTAACCATGAGTTCTTTTTAAACAGGTTTTGTTAGGAAAACGTAGAAGTGTTACATAATATATGATTTTAGTTTGTAAGGTGTAGATTGTAATAATTTTTAAAGTATTCAGTTAATGTTTTCAGATAATGTAATTTTGTTGTAAGGCAAATTGAACAAATGAATTTTGTTTAAGTCAATAAACTGCGGATAAGTATTAAGAATTTATTGTAAAATTAGACTAAATTAAAAAAATACATGAAATATAAGTTTGTTTGTGTCTACCATACCTCTAATAACATAATCAGTAAGCTTCTATAGCAGTGTCAGACCGTCTAATGGTCAAGACGTTTAGTCAAATTATTACATCTGTTTATAAATCTCTGTACGTCCCTAATGAGTGCAAGACGCTCTGTTTAGTGATAGTGTACACAGCATGGCGGCGTCCGTCTACACAAGCCCTTATACAGTTACGATCAAGTTTTTGCGAGGAATTTGCAACGAGTATTGTACAAATTTATTTACTATCATTAACTGTATCTATATATACTCTAATATATAAAGCTGAAGAGTTTGTTTGTTTGCTTGCACAGGCTGATCGTCGGAACTATTGATTCGTTTTAAATATTCTCAGTAGTACAATTTTGATAATATTGTTATTTTCAAATAAGCTAATAAAATTGCCTGAACAACGTAATTGAAAATATTGATCCCGTAAAATATGTTAAATAAAATTCGTATAGAATGAAGGAACTAAGTCGCGTAGAATCGGTTCACGTAGAAAGTTTATAGCTCGTTACATTGTTATAAGTGCAATAGTAATTTAATTTTGCACCAAAACCAAACATCGCTGTGTGTGATTAAAAATATACCCAATAATTACTGAGACGTTATGCGGAATATTATCCTCGTGCAGTTCGCTATTCTTTTCGATTTGTTTTACTCTGTGACTTCAGGCTATCTCCACCACCGGCCAGTGGTGCCGATGCAGGATCTTCATAAACTACAACGGACGACCACAGTGAGACCAAGATTATCCGGGGTTTATCGTGAGTCACATCTCGTCAATTGGCGAGAAAAGTCTTCGAACAGCATCGAAATGGTGGTAAATCCTGTTACAGTGAAAGAAGACTTCATGATGCTACCGTATCAAGAGATGCCCAAACAAAAGTATTCATTGAGTCCCCAGTTCATAGATTGGTTAAATTTCTACGACTGGAGTCAGTTTAGTGCAATACCAATAGGGAATTCTCTGAATCTTACTCCTTCTGTTTCTGGTGATAAATCGACCGGTAACAATAACAATAATAATAATAATGGAAACTCAGAAACCACGTTATCAACTCTGTTATATCCTGGGCAGAACGATGCGACCCTACCTACTACGCAAAATGCAAGTTCGCCAACTCCAGTACCAGAAGTTCTGTGCGTTGGTCTAGCTAACTGTCAGCAACAGATTTGGAAGAAAAGGGCTGGCAGAAAGGGAGTGACACGAGAAGTCACAAGTCACCACTTACTGAAATGAGTTAAAACTAACTAAACAGTCTGCGACATGGGGCCGTACATGTTCACTAGTGATACTGTCCTGGAATGAGCTGCATACGAGATACCCGTTTGTTTTTGTATTCTAACGAATCGAAATGTTCAAAATACTGATTTATACTTACTAATAATTTGTAGTATATGTTTGTGTTAAAACATTTTTTTTTTGTAAAATTGGTTAATAAAATTGTTTTATTTGTTAGCGGTTTGAATGTGATGTTTACAATATTAACAAAAAGACTGAACTAATCCACACTCTATAAGTTACAAATAATCTTTCACTTTTTGCAAAAAAATATATACAATATGATGTATGTAACTAATCGAAAACTCTCGTTGCTCGTTTGCCGGCCTATCATAAAAAATCTGATCTAAATAAGTACAAACAAAGCCGGTTCATAGAATCCTATATATAGTACCAAACAAAAACAATGAAGGGTACTTAAACTTAAACTCAAAGTCTATGTATCCTGCGAATTCAAAAATATAGTTTACCTATTAACGCTATTTTATTACTGTATCAATATATCCTGCCTTTTTACCAAAGTCCTAGGGAAAAGTGTAGGTAGGTACATACATATACAGGCCTAAGCTTGTTATATCCCGTTAGAATTTAGGTAATCGAAAGATCTAAAACATTTTGCCGTACCCAGGTATTGAAACCGAAATTCATAGCTCGGCAATCAACTACCACAACTCAACCGGTGATAAACTTCAGGCATTTTGTGTGCAATATACTGGGAGGTTATATATTTTAATTTCTGTTTGAGAATTAGCATACAACGTGATGTTTCTGAAAATCGGTTAACAATTGCAATTAATTTCAATCCGTATCACAACATAATCGATTTAATCAATACCTCTACCTCCATCGATGAGGTTCGTTTGTGTCGTGGTCTCTTATATGAGGCATGAGTGACAAGTGATGTGGTACATTATACTGTATTACTTGATATTTGTGCAACAGTTTGTGATAACACTAGCCTCTCGTTATCGCCCAGTCATAGGAATGACAAACTATCGACAGGAGTCACTAGATGCTGTTTATCCCGTTCAACCTGTTCAGTCCAACTTTAATCAGAATAATGGGAACTACGACATGCTACGACAGTCAAATAATATGCATCAGCCTATTCAACCGCTGATCAAGATGTCTTACCAGATACGTAAGCAACCGCAATTTAAAATGCCTGAGCAATTACCATTACGATATTCTGTCCAAAAATCGCCTATACTACCGCCTGTACTAGCATCTATTAATATACCTAATAGACCACCAAGTAAAACATCAATGTTGATGGAACTTTATGCTCCGAACCAAATGACAGTTCAGCAATTGGATTATAAGTACTTGCAGCAGGAGACGTGGCCTACAGTGACTACTACTAGCCCGACTACTACCAAGACTGTTTCTGTCAAACGTGCTGTTAAAAGAATAAGGAAATCCAAGCTCCGAAATAATACTACACCTAAAAAGAAACCATCGACGTTACGTATATTGAAAATGTCATCGAGCACCAGACCCCCGTACCCTGGAGGGATCAGACCCGAGACTAAGGAAGTTGATGGAGATTATATTTTGTGCGACGGTAATGCTATTTGCCATAAATACGTCTGGACAACGAAGAAGGCAAAGACTCCTAAGAAGACAAGAAGATGAGATGGTCTTTTTGAGAAAATCTTTCAGTAATATAAAAATATAATATGTAAGATACTTTCGCCGGACTCGTTACTTAACATTGTGATTTTAAACGGTTTTAGAAATAGAAATGTTTTGTTGTTATAAGTTTGTAGGAAGATGCCTAAGCATCATTATAGTAGAAGTTATAATAAAATGTCTTCCTTGAAACTATGATCTTTGTATTCCAAGAGTGATAGACGAAAGTTATGTATACTGTATTTTGTAACAAATAAAACACTAATATGGGCATTTTTATACAAACATTCCACCGCAGAACGAATACGATTTTTTAAAATCGCCACATGAGTTTTATTTTTAGAAAATAAAATATATCTCTTGATAGTTTGAGTATAATTAGTGACTTTATATTTGGCCTTCAAAAATATTTATTCAGATTAGCATAACTGAAAATTAAATATCTACAATTATTTCAAATAAACAGTCATGCTAAATTGAGCTACATAGACCTACAGAATCCTACACAATGTAGTAGGACATTGTTAAATTTTCCTCGTTCTTTACAAATATCTATCTTATTATAATATTCCCCTGAGGCATCCTCTCATTAGGAATGCAGCGATTTTATAATACCATTGGTTCCTTATGGTTTCAATCAATAACACGCTTGTCACAAAGTTCAGACCAAATCAAAACAATTAAATTGAAATATTTGATCGGTCCTCTAAATGCACGCTAGTTTTACGTTTACTTTGTGATAACTATGGTGATATATCTTTAATATAACGTTATGAATATTATTGTTTTGTATCTTGTAATTATATATTAACACGCTGCATTCTGTAAACATGTCGCAATTTGACTTTGATGTGAATTTGATGTCGCCGGAAGGGAACCAGCCATCCACTGTGTCTGGACAATTATCTCAACCTGGCGCAACTAAATTGTCTACTGTACGAGCAAAGCCTACATGTGGTCCAGTGTCGTTTCCAGACTACAGCTGTGAAAGACCTACTACACCTTCGGCAATATTAAAAACATCTGATGTCCCAAAGATGTCAAAGCCACAACAAGACTTACATAGACAACTGCCGCTCCAAATTCTAAGGTCATCTTATGAGTTAGATAAAACACCATGGCAGCCAAAAGTGGGCCGTGAGATTATAAGGACATTTAAGAAAGATGTGACAACTTGGAAGTCCATGTTATTTCCACGATCACATTATGGTACGTTTGGGGGATCTTTATTTGACTTTATATTAGGTAAGGACGATTATGCAATTTATGGAGAAGCGGAAACTCGAAGACCTCGACCTTCCGAAAAACAATTAAGTCAGTTGAGTCAGCCGCCGCCACAATCTCCACATTTTCGATCAGAGCCATTGAATCAACCAAACTTAGCAGCCCATCCACCAAAACCACAAAATATCCCAGTTAATAATAATATTATGTTTCGAAACAATAACGCGATGTTGACTGGTAAGACAGACCGATACTCGGTGAATGGTGTACCTCAATATGTGGTGAGTGGCAGGATGACGTCACGATATTATATGCAACCTCAAATGAACTTGAAATTCAGAGTATCAGCTCAACCCTACCCATATCGTAATGTACCGATTTCAACGTCAGGAGGTTTCAAGTACAAATATAATCCAGCGACATTTTATCAGCCGCCTGTGAAAACTATTAAAGAAAGACCCTATCAAGGTTTTCATATTACTAATATGGCATTATCAAATGCTTATATACATCAAAATAAAGGTAGATCAACAGTAAGATATTTATCAAGTAGAATGAATTTCGTTACTATAGCACCAGCGAGCTCTCAAGGCGATACAACTCAAACAATGGGATCAATGGGACAGTTACTTCAAAGAGTGGATATACAAAACCACTCAGTGGGGACTTGGTCCAAATTCAAAACTCCAACTAAAGTTTCCGAAAATGTACCTTCAAAAGTGTTAATATTTGATGGTATAAACGTTCATCATACGTCCAGTAGTTCAAATCCAGAAGGAAACATGAGAGGTCATAATTTTGAAATACATAATACAACACCAACATTGGCAACTAATGGTTTAGTTAAACATGAAACAACTGCCGGTTTTCTTAAACAAGGTGATTTACTTCGAATATTAAACTTTAATAAGGATTTAAAAGAAAAATCTGTCGTCACTACGTCTCATGATAAAGTAGTAACGAATTCGTCAACAAATAAATTACTATCTGTCGAATCGCAGACACAATCAAATATTGTTAATAATGCGTTTAATGAAGGAATAAGGATAAATATGAATCACGGTGTTAGCGTAGACAATACAGTAACAGAAATTGCAAGTGCTAATATAGGTATTCCAAGAGACGCTCCAGGCGGTATATCATCGTCATTAGTGACCTTCGGAGATCAATTTGGTAGCAGTATAGCACAAATTTCAAATGTCAATAAACAGTTTCGAGATGAGCCAAACACGACTTGGTCATCACAGGACACAACGCAGCATTATGACTCAAACGTGTATAGTGCGACAATGACGCCGGTCGGTAATTATTCGGTTTCGGATGTTTCAAATATTATGTCTTCGAGTGTACCAGTGCAACCTGCAACTTCAAAAAGAACAACATTTGATAATAAGAATAAGGGACATTGGGCTCATATAGACTCTAGGAGTAGTGGAGCTACGTCCTCTATAGATAAATTACTACAGAGTATGGTGCATGGTGTGGCAGCGAGACAATCATTTGTTACCAAAACTCAGGATGGACTGCAAAGAAACAGTTACCCTCAAGAAACCATGCAATATGGAGTTACATATGGTAATGTGGTATTACCACGCAGTGTGATATCTCCAGGTATTACAGCTGCTGGAAATGTGATACCTCAAAATGTGATGTCGCTTGATAATAAGCAGAGTGTGGTAGTCGACTTAAAATACACAACAAAGCCTCAAGATATACAAATTACCAGGCAGTAAAGTTACAACAATGGGCCTAGGGACAGATATTATAAATAACGTGTATTATTTACTTTTACACTAGTATAATTAGCTACTTCATGTATCACAAACGATTGTGGCAGGATTCGTCGGTTTGCCGTTGCGGCGATGTGGTGGCTCACTTCATTGCTGATGTCAGTGGAGTTCTTTAGAGTTAAGATTTTATATTTAAGAATATTGCTAATAAGGCATTGTTGTTTTTATAATAAAAGTGTTTATTAAAGGAAATAATTTTATTTCTACTTTATTAACTAAAAATGCGGGTTACTCGCGTGAAAATACTGAGAAAAACTCTATTAGTTTAGAAACGCAGAGAGGTTCTTCCTCATGAGCAGCGTGCGCGGTCGCGGCGATGTCGCGCAGCCTATACTCATTTTTAGGTAAACTTATTTTATTGATGCTCCAACAAAAGATTTTGAAACACCATGTCAGTAAATGCTACAACCTACATGCAGCAATGCTAGCGTTGCAATCTCAATATTCTACTATTGACTAACATTACATGTATATAAGTTATAGTTGAGTTTGACAGTCGGTTGTGGAAGTAGAAATATAGCAGACTACGATCTATTTGTAATCGCTGTAGACAACGAAATAACTGAATTTGGGTATTCATTTGTAAGATAACCGTGTGACTAAAAATCCAATAAAAAATTTACTAAATTAACGTGATTAATGCAGTAGAAGTGATTATTTTATTGGTTTGACTTGGGTGGGTGTATAGCTAAATATTGTAAAATACTTATTTGATATAAAACTGGATCACCAGTTAACTAAGTCATCAGACTTAGTTACCTAGGTCGTGTAGCCTATTCAATAGCCGCGACTGCGCACGCTGCTCACGAGGAAGAACCCCTCTGTGGTTCGAAATTAGTAGAGCTTTTCTCAATATATTCATGTAAGTAATCCACGATTTTTAGTTAATTTACTTAGTTACCTATTTCAAAGTTGGGCTACAACACAAATGAAGTAAATTTTTCCTCAGTTATCATTCAGTTTAATACATTCACTATCAATAAAAATCGTGTTTAAGTATAATATACAATTTGAGTCATTTGGTTGCAGGAACCAAGACTGTTATTCATGTCCCTGGGACGCGCTGGACTTTAGTGTTTCGATGTTTTCATGGTTGTATCTACTGTAGATCCTGGTTCACAGGATTTGCAGCCGTTCGCCGTCGGAAGGTCATGGCGGACGTGTCCCATAAAATAAATACAGTCTGAGTTGACGCACCACACAAGTTAATTGTCCTGCTTCACTCTCATATGGTGAGCGCAACAAAGATAAGAAACTGAAATAATAATAATTATGTTTGAAATATAATCAAAACAGAACAAATGTGATTACCATTTCGCAAATCAGAATTACACGGTTTATAGTTGTTTCAACTTCTACGTGTTTCAATACATATAAAGCCAACGAATGTAGACTGATACGTAATGAAATTAAACTTCAAGTTCACCATCTTCTCCATTGGGGTACTAAACAACCTGTTCCCCGTACAGTTAGCCAGCATTGCTTCGAATCCAAACATTGCAATTGGTTCTTCAATTCCCATACAACTAGAGTCTTCAACAGCTACAACCATTCCAGGAGTATCCAGGAGAATGAAGCCCACATATGGCTCCGTGCCAAACGATCAATCAAAACCGTCATTATCAGCTGATACTACAGCATGGCAGGTGCCTACCAAGGTATCAGCGGGAGCACTTTCTCGGCCAGTTGTAGCACAACGACAGAACCAGTATTACGACCTACCGGATTATGGGTCGACCCCTGTGGCGCCGGCAGTGTTTGCGCACGAGGAAAACACGTTCGCAGGCGAAGAAGTACCTTTCCCTGAGACTCAAGAGACTGCTCCTCAAGGTGATCTTGCAGAAGTGGATTTTATACCTTCAGGTGAAACTGAAACGTTTACAAGTCAACAGGCTGTAACGTTACCCAGTTTTGTAGATCAGTATCAAGATATGGCCTTTAAGGCGGAAATTTACGACACGGACCCACAAACTGCACAGAGTTCATATATGACTTTGCGTAGTTTCACATCACAAGAAACCCCTTCACCCGCTTACTTCAGCACTACAACTACCACTATGAAGCCTACTTTAGATATTTTACTTCGTGACGGAGTAAATGTCATTCAAAAAGCGTTCAGAACGAGGAGCACTTACCCATTTTTTCCGGGGGGCTGCACACCAAAAAAAGATCCTGAACCAACTGAGACTTTAAT